AGAAAGATATAAAAGAAGTTATTTTATCTAGGTATTATTATTTCTCCAGATTAAACTAGTGCTGAGTCCCACTTGTTTTAAACCTTTTGCCCTTCTCAGGTACAAAGTAGTTTATTCTTATTTTACTCTTTTTCTTCTATGTTACATTTCTCTTGTGTCCATTAATTTTCTGCTTAATGTTTGTAGTTGGATTAGTCCCTCTAAGGCAGGGGTAGGCAACCTAAGGCCTGGGGGCCAGATGCAGCCCCCCGAGGCCTTTGGACCAGCCCCAGGCCGGTCCTGCCACCACCGCTGCCACCACTGCCCCCCACCGCCCACCATGATGATATTGATTATTGTTGTTATTACTTGTTCTTGGGGTTTTCTTGGCAAAACCTCCACAGGGGTTTTGCCATGGCTTTTCTGGGGCTGAGAGAGTGTGCATGGATATTTTTTTATTTTTTTTAAAAATAATTTTTAAATGTTTATTTATATTTATTTATTTATTTATTTATTTTTGCTGCTTCAGCCCCCCAATTGTCTGAAGGACAGCAACCCGGCCCCTGGTTCAAAAAGGTTGCCTACCCCTACTCTAAGGTCTCTAGAGTCTCTTTTTTATGAGATTTCTTCTCGCTTTTACCATCTCTTTAATTCTTTTCCTTCTCTGCATTTTCTCTAGTATAATTATTGAATATATAGAGCTGGAATTATCCTTTTGATAATCCTTTCTTCGATCTTGTATTCCAACCTCTTTTGTCAGCTCTTTAGTCCTTTTCTTTCTCTTTCTCCTAAGCTCTGTGTCTCCAATTCCATCTCTGTAGTAATCTTTTACTTATCTGCTTTCTTTCTTTCTTTCTTTCTTTCTTTCTTTCTTTCTTTCTTTCTCTTTGCTCTTTTTCTTGCCACCTTGGTGTCTCTTTCAACCCATCTCTCCAATTCACCTACTCCTCATTGTATCTCGGCTTTTCTCTTATCCCCTCTCCTTTGTAGTTCCATGCTCTTTCGCTGGTCCTTTTACAGTCCAAGTCAGTTTTTCCCCCTCTCCTTTCTAATTATTTTTTCCCCTTTCTAATTACTTTTAACTGCTTTTGTGGGCTTGCGGTCCTATACAGTCTTTTACAACCTTTTAGCAGCCTTTTACTGCTTTTTGCAGCTTCTTTTTGTTATTTATGGCTTCCCTCTCTATCCTTAAGTCTATGACCATCTTGATTCATTTTACTGCTCGCTTTCCTGCTTCTTGTTTCATGGACGTAGAGTCCTTTTTCTTATTATAGAGGATTAACCCGAGAAAATAAAGATAAGGTGAACACCAATATGTCTGCAATCTTCCTGCATCTTCGTTTGATAAGATGTAGTAAGGTGTGGAGCTCTTCCAGGTTGCCATTTCTGGTGGCTGCAGTAGCAGGTGGTGCTTGCTCTTCAGTCAAGCTCTAACCCATGGCCATTCGACTGGGGGAATATCCCCCATACTTTGGCAGTGGGTCACCAAAAAGACCCCCAACAAGCTTATTCTGCTAAAAAAAAACCTTATTGGGGAGGTTATGGATGGGTTGAATCATATTCCCATTCTCTCAAGTACTGCTACCATGGAGGTTTAGGTTACAAGCTCCTCATACCTATGTCCTCCTACGGAACCTCTCACACCAGAAGTCCAGAAACATACAAAAATTTTGCTTCTAGAAATGACATTTTTTACAAAACAAAATATGGGTTTTGCACAGACAAAACCCTTTTGGAAGAAAGTACATATTTTAATACAAGACATTTTGGAAATCAAATTCAAATTATGACCAGAAATTTACTTATTAAATATGCTAAACTTAATACCTCCCCATATAGAAAGGAAATGGTGGATAATTCTGTTGTACATGATCTTAGCATCCAGAATAATACTAGCTCAAAAATGGAAGAGGCAAGAATTATCTACAATGGATGATCAGCTTTTAAAACTATTTGATATGATAGAGATGGACAAATTAACCTCTTGACTAAATGAAAAAGATACAGAAAAAACAGAGGAACAGCGGCTCCCCATAACAGAATTTTGCAAGAAAAGATGGCAATAACAAAGCAAGTCCTTTAAGAGAATTAAAGGATAAAGAGTTGAAACAAAGATAAGAGATTTAGAATTTGAATTTGAATGGGGGGAATCTTCATTGAAAGGATTTTTTAAATTAAAAAAAGGAAAGAAAATGACTAATACTGTAATATACAGATTGAAAAGAAAGGCCTTGGTGTCAGGGAAACATGGGAAGTAAGAGGAGAAATTAGCAAATTTGAATTTTATTTAATATAAAATACTGGTAAGATGAATTAGTGAATTAAGAATTTTACAACTGTATGGTGACTGTGGCATGACTTCTGGAAGCATATATGTTTGTAAAATAATAATAATAATAATAATAATATATATATATATATATATATATACACATATATATTAAAAAAAACTGTCACATTATATATCTGTGCAGAATATTTTCCTGTAACATTTTGGGCTGTGTGAATACCATAGTAGAACTGTGCAAAATTTTTGACTCTGTCTTGTTTTTACCAACCATGTTTTCTAAGTATCGGAAAACTTTTTTCTTTTTGAGCCAGGAAACAAATAACATTGAATTTTATTTCTGTCCTTAATAGGGAACTGGTGTAACAAAGGACCGTTAACTTGGCAAGAGAAGGGGGTCTGATTAAAATAAAATTATTATACTGTGAGTGGAAACTATTCAATTTTCACAGAGGACTGTCTATTCTATATAAATAAATGTTCTTACTCAAACTGAGTTTCTGGGTTGTATGTATTGCTTAGTTAGAAACTTGTTTTACCACATTCTCAAAGTAGCCTTTGTACAGCTTGTATCTTTTCCAGCTAATACACATTTTTAGTTCTTTCCCCTCTTTTATTGTTTGAGTAATTGATAAATTCTGTCTATAAGAAGTAGCTTACAGAATGTATTTTTATGAGTCTCAGGGGTGAGGAATTGGTAATATGGGATGTCTGTTACTCTGTTTAGTTACACTTCAGTTCTTTTGTCTTTTCTGGAGAATCAACCCAAAGAAAGGGGTTCTGTATATTAACCACTATTAATATTTTGAACTGCAGTTCTGAATATTGGAGCAAACCATTTTGACCAGACAGCAAATGAGCTTATTATTGCCAAAGTCAGCAATGTTTGGAATTAGTTTCTCCACAATCAAGTCTGTGTTTCCATGATAGGAATCATCTCACAAAAATCATAGCTATGCACATACTTCTTCAGAATCCAGACTGTCTTTTGCATCAGTGGTGAGTGAACAAGGTCTGCATTTTAACAGCACCAAAAGAGATGACTGTTGATGCCCAGCTGGCCATTTGGGAACTGCCTGCTGTCTTGCATTTCCTGCTGAGCACCCTTGGGGAAACATAAGGGCATGGACAGGGGGGAAAGATTTGATGTCTGAGAGCCATGGAGAGAGAAGGGAGGAATAGAAATGATGGCAGTTGAGAGAGGAAGCAGGGCGTTGAAGAAAGGAGGGGGGATATGAGGAAAATTTGTAAGAAACAAATTTTGTAACCAAGGAAAAGCAGGAAGTGTTTTTAAAAATACAAAAACTAATTAAAGTGAAGGTACTGGAACTAAATGGGTTTCACATCTTATAATGTGTTAAGAATAGACTAGAACTGTGGCAATGGGATGGATGGATGGATGGATGGATGGATGGATGGATGGATGGATGGATGGTGAATAGATGGATAAAGATGCAGTCCCTATGTGCCCAAGTAGTGAAAAGTTTCAGGACAAGAATCTTCTAGGATCATCTTGCTGGACAAGAATCTTGTTGGATCATATTAAAGACCTACTTAGCCCACATCCCATTCTCAACAATGGTCTATAGTCCACTGTTTTCAATTCCAATTACCTGTATTTATTTTGAAGGTCCCTGAAGAAGGCCCTTTTTCATTGAGACCGAAACGTATTGGACATTTTAAAAATACTGAATAAACAGATGATCATCTCAGAGCACATGAACTTTGTTTCCTCACTGTTTCCCACAGTGGTTAACCAGATTCCTACAGGAAGACTGCAGGCAGGATTTTCAGCTGATATTCGAAAGCATGTGACCCTGATCTTGCGCAAGGTATCATTCTGACTGGTGGCCACTGATAGCCTAATCTTCCATGATTTTGTCTAATGTGTTATTAAAGACATCTACATTTGTGGCCATCATATTTTGTGGTACCCACTTCAATAAATTGTGAACTGTGTAAAGAAGTACTTTTCTTTGTCCTGAATCTCCTGCCATTCTACTTAACCACGCTAGCTTCCAGGATTACCAAAAAACAAACAAATATAAAAAACTAGCCTATATTCATTTTCGACACAACACACAGAGTTGTAAACACTTGATCATGTCTCCCACCATTACTTTTTTCTTAAGTTGAAAAGCTTCAGTATTGACCACACTTTTCTGCAGCTTTTCTAGTTAAATAACATATCCTCTGGCATATAACTACCAGAAATGATGAAGCAACCACAGTCTCCTAAGTGTGTTGCACTATAGATTTGTAGAAAAGTATTACCAGTTTTCTTTTTAATCCTTTCTGAATTATTCTTAGCATTGAATTATATATATATATTAAAAGCTGCAGCATACTGGGTCAATATTGTCATTTAGTTATCCATCGCCTGCCCTTATCCATTTTCTGGAAGGTCACTGTCTTCTCAGATCCCATCAGTGTACATCAGGGTATATATCAAATTAGATGGTTGTTTTGCTCCCAAACTTTAGATTTCCACATTATACAACAGTTCCCATTTTTACTGCACTTTTAACCATTTTGGAGAAATTATTTTGAAATTCCTTGCAATCACATTTTCAGCCTGTTGTTATGGTCCTTCAAATCATTTCCACTTATGGTGACCCTAAGAAGAATTTATCACAGGATTTTCTTGGCAAGATTTGTTCAGAGGGGGGTTGCCTTTGCCTTTTTCTGAGGCTGAGAAAATGTGACATGCCCAAACTTACTCAGTGATTTTCTGTGACAGAACAGGGATTCAAACCTTGGCCTCCAGAATCCTAGTCCAAGACTCAAACCACTACATCACACTGGCCCCACAGTCAATAATTTAGCTTGACTATCAGCAAATTTGTTCTCCTCACTGGTAATTCTTAACTATAGCTCATTCATGAGAAAATTTTAAAGTGCTGACCTAATACATGTCCTTGCAGAATATCAGTTCTTGCATCCCTTCATTTAACAACTGACCCATCATTCCTACTCTCTCTTTCCTGTTATTTATTGTGTTGTTGTGTGCCTTTGAGTCATTTCTAACTTATTGCAACCCTTTCACAGGTTTTTTTGGTAGAATTTGTTCAGAGTGAATTTGCTCTTGCCTTCCTCTGAGTCTGAGAGAATGTCATTTGCCCATGGTCGCCCAGTAGGTTGCAACTAGTGCCTGCTGAAAGCGCCCTCTCCCTTACTCAGCAGCATTTTTTGAAAGATTGTGTCAAAGCTACTGAATCACGTGAGCCCATTGTTGTTGTTTTTTTGTTGTGTGCCTTCAAGTAATTTCTATATTATGGTGACCCAAAGGCCCTATCACAGGGTTTTCTGGGACTAAATGTGTGTGCCTTGCCCAAGGTCACCAAGTGGGTTTCCATGGCCAAGCAGGGAATCGAACCCTGATCCCCAGAGCTATTGTCCAACACTCAAACCACTACACCCACTGATCCCTCATTAACACTCTCAAAGCAATAGCAATAGCAAGTACATTTCTATACTGCTCATCAGTGCACTTAAGCACTCCCTAAGCAGTTTACAATGTGTAAACTAATGGTCCCAACAAGTCATCTTAGCCACTTCAGAAAGATGCAAGCCTGAGTCAAGCCTGAGCCCTGGCTGGTACTGAACTAACAATCTTATGGATTGTGAGTGAGTGGCTGCAGTACAGGCATTTAACTACTGTGCCACTAGGCCCTTCAAAGGATTTAGAAGGTTGGTAAAACTTTTTGTTAATCTAATGTTTCTATGCAATATGTAGCTCATTTTTTTTAGCCTTTGTGATCTGGTTGCAGATTTTAGTACATGGAATTTTGTTCTTCTTTGGAGACATGAGTGGGATGCAGTGGTTTAGAGGTTAAGATGCCAATTTTGATGATTGGATGATTGGAAGGTTGGCAGTTTGAGGCCCAGGGGCTGCATGATGGGGTGAGCTCCTGTCACTAGTCCCAGCTTCTGCCAATCTAGCAGTTTGAAAGCAAGTAGGTAAATAGGTACCACTTCAGTAGGAAGGTAACAGCGTTCAGTGTAGTCATGCTGGCCACATGACAACCAGAGTAGTCCTTGGACAACACTGGCTCTTTGGCTTAATAATGGAGATGAGCAAAGTCGGTTGCCCTACAGTCACTTATGACTAGACATTCATGTCAAGGGACTACCTTTACCTTTACTTGGAGACAAGACTTCATTTTTTTCCATGAAGGAAGTCTACTTACCTCAGATAGCTTCTTTATTAATTAATCACACTGGCATCCCTTTTAACTTGATAGTACCTTTCCTGACCGGCAGGACACAATCTACGTGAACTTACCTTACTGTGATTTTGAATCATCCAGCTTTCTGGATGGATTTGACCTTTATGACTTTCCCTTTCAAGTTTCCTGCTATCAGTCCTCTCATTTTTGAGAGTTTTCTTCTTTTGAAGACAAATGTGTCTGTGCTGGACATTCTTTCAATGGACACTTTCATGCATGTTGAATTTAATAACATTCTGGTCAGTGTTCCAATCAATTTGATAAAACGTCTTGTGAAAGGTTGCCACTTAGGGTCTAGTGTTGCTTCCTTTGGGGGTCAATTTCACAGCCAGCTGTTTTATGGCACAATCCTCTGGGGTACCTTGAAATTATATTTATTGCTTGTGACCAGAGCATGCATTTACCCAGCATTCAAGAAGCTAATTCAAATCACATTTTAGTACAAATATTTGTCCTTAGAGGCTTCTCAGATTTCACTTTCTATCTCAAGTTTACCATGAGCATTTTGGTTAGGGGAGAAATAATATTGAGGTGGTATTGAATTACTTTAATTTAAAACCAAGTAAAAAAGTTCAGAATTATTGACCTTTTTAGTATTATACATATGTGTATCTGGGTTTGATAAGGGTGATTATTTTTAAAGGCTGCTTTTTATCTCACATTTTAGAAAAGAATTCTGTATGTTACCCTAATATGTTAATATCATTTTAAGGTACAGTATTTTCTGGCGTATAAGACGACCCCCCATTTTCCCTGTCAAAATATAGAGTTTTAGCACCTCTATCCTCCTTATCCTTATACCTGGCGTATAAGATGACCCCCCCCACTTTAACCATAGATTTTGCAGGTTTAAAAGTAGTCTTATACACAGGAAAATAAGGTAGTTCTTACATAATGTTCTTTGCTTTGCTCACTTTGTACTTCAGATTCTTTCAATTCAGTGCCATCATTATTTTTCATTGAGTTTGATCCAGATTTGGTCAAAGAAGACCCATGGAAACCAATGGGAATTAAGTTAGGCATGATTAACTTAAGTGGAATTTATATCAGAGTAGCTACTACAATTAAGTCTTGAACCAACATATGAAAGTATGATATTAGTGTTTGCTTTATTCTGCATTTACTTATATTTATATATGCCTTCAAGGAAGTTATTTTTCATAGCATGTCAGGCAACGTATTTTAATAAATAGTCTTTCAGACAGTAGTCTGAGGTTCATGTTTCCTTTTACTCTTCATTTTCCATCCATCTCTCCCTCATTTTGAAGAGCCAAGGAATATGTTCCTGTTTTGAAGTGACAGGAACTTCCTAAAGTCCTTTTTAAAAAAGCTTTTCTATTAACTATAACTTGAGTAAATTTCAATTTAAATTGAGATATACCAAATATGTAAATATCTTCAATCCTGAGAGGCCAGCCATTTAACGTTTAGGGGATGTGAAGTCTGCTGACTCACATCCCTGAAGAAGTTAGTCCTACATCAATTGGAACATTACTTTGGATAGTAGAAAGTATTTCCCAGTGATAGCAGCAAGCTTTTCCCAAAGCATAGTTGCCTCTTTTGTCCTAATGCAGATGGAAATAAAGTCTGTCCCAGACCAGAAAATTAGAGACAGCGCAAATGCTTGTTTTATAAATATGAATGCAGTGATTGCTAATGACTCTGCTAGTACATATAGATATTGTTCCTAATCTGGAGGAGAAGCTTTCTGCTCAAGATAATGGAAAGGACCTCTTTTCTCAGGAGACTCTCCAGCAGGGTTATGAGTGAAATAGTTCAGTGCTTCTCAAACTTTTTACCTTTGTGACCCCTTTTACATCTACATGTGGATGTCATACTCCCCACCCCTGCTCAACATAGTATATGATTTTTTTTAAAAAAAATTGTTTAATGTGTGTATTTTCCTTTCTGCATTCATGTATATTCACATTTTAACATTTTATAAGGTAATAACTTCGTCCAAATTGGAAGAGTTTTATTTAAATCAATTCAGTACTTAACACATGTGTAAATTTAACATATACTGTCTCACACATAGCTGCACTCACATGCACCAATTCTTAGAGATATGTACACACTCAGCTATGCTCTTTCATTCTTTCTTTCAGTCACACGCATACTCTCTCTCACACAGAGTCAGACAGAAACATTCCTCTTCTTGTGTATATGCACATATACACAAGTGCATATGCAAGTATGGAAAATAAAGATGAAGAGTGTGTGAGAGAGAAAGACAGAGACACACACAGAGAGAATTTGTGTGGGAGATTGAATGTGAATGAACATACCTAAGAGAGAGAGAGTATAGGGTCATTCAGATGTTGTTTTTAGCACAACGATGCGAATCACCTCACTCACACAGTTCAGGTTTGCTATTCACACTATGGAACTACATATCTATATTGATGCACATCTCTGTGAGTTCGGCTGCTCACACCTGCAAGATTCGAATTAAGATGGAGTTGATCATGTGAATCCATTCAGAACCCCTATTTTGATATGCAGCATTTTATCCCGGGTCTATTCAGGTCTATTTGCATTGGTTAATCACACAACCAATGATGCGGATTTTTTTTAAAAACAACTTGTGGTAAAACCCAATATTGATTATCCCTGATTAAGTGGGGTTTTGGCAGCCCACCCCCAACTGAATCAGGTGCATTCGAGATGCACATGAACAACAGAGATTTGACCCTGATTCATCCTGGATTGTTTTCACAATATGAATAATTCCTATGAAAAAAAGCATTACTGGGTGTATATGAGAATTAGATTTTCACATGGGCAAAAATGAGGGGAGCATAGCAGGATGCTCCCATCACTATCATGCAATTGCGCTGAGATTATCAGACAGCGTAATGATAATCACGTCATTATCCCATGAATAAAGAGAAACTCTACCACCACTTTTTATTCATGGGAAAGTCCCATGAATAAAAAGTAGCAGGAGAATTTCTCTTTATTTATGGGATAATGATGCGATTATCGCAACACAGTCTGATAATCTTTGCACAGTTGTGTGGTAGTGATGGGAGCATATTGGGATGCTCCCATCACTACCACACAACTGTGCAAAGATTATCAGACTGTGTTGCGATAATCGCGTCATTATCCATGTGACAATCTCCTTCGTGTGTGACAGAAAGTCACTCATACACCAACAGACATATCGAGGGTGTGTGAGAGCATACATTGAGACTGCAGCAATGTCTCATCCCAAGAACTGGATTTCATACCAAGAACCAGTGTGAGGGGGTGCTGCTGGGAGTGACCAAAAGGGTGCTCTCCGTCCTCTTCTTCACCACACTGGCATCCTCATGAGGAGAGTGGTGCAACCTATTACAGCCACTGCAGGCATAAAATCACCTCTTCTCTTTGATATCAACTAATAATGGGTATCCCCTGTATGGCCCTTCTATGTGGAGGCCTCCACCATAGTTTCGAAGCAGCAAGTCACATACACATAAGGAGGTGTTAAATGGAAAAGTTATATTATGAAGGAGATGGCATCTGGCATGGGAAGGCATAAACAACCCCCTCCATCTTGCCATCCTGTCTCGGAACTTCACACCTTCTCTTCCCTTTCTTGGAAGATTGGACTTCAAAGTACAGAGATATATGTCAAAAGGTATAGGACCATTTGGGCAAATCAATGCCTTGGTCTTTTGCTCCTGAGCACAAAACGTCTATTTAAACCCCAGACTTTTCTTTGTTCCATAGGTTAGTCTTGTAGCAGGCAGAAATGTCATCAGACTATATGACCAA